AATAAATAAATAAATAAATATGAGGCTAGGCATAGTGGCTCACACTTGTAATCCCAGTACTTTGGGAGGCTGAGGTGGGAGGAACACTTGAAGCCAGGAGTTCAGGACCAGTCTGGTCAATATAGTGAGACCCCCCCATCTCTAAATTAAAAAGAAAAATGTAGCCGGGCATAGTAGCACACTCTTGTAGTTCCAGCTACTTGGAAGGCTGAGGCGGAAGGATCACCTGAGCACAGCAGGTCAAAGCTGTGGTGGCCGTGTGCACGCCACAACAGAGTGAGATTGACTCAAAAAAAAAAAAAAAGAACAGAATATGATCCTTCCCTTTAAGGAGATGGTGATCTACTATGGAGGCAGATAAACAACAGACCATTTTTTTTTTTTTTTTTTAATATGGAATGCTTCACGAATTTGCATGTCATCCTTGCACAGGGGCCATGCTAATCTCTGTGTCATTCCTGTTTTAGTATATGTGCTACTGAAGCGAGTACTAGACCATCATATTTTATTTTTTGAGTTGGAGTCTTTCTGTTGCTCAGGCTGGAGTGCAGTGGCACGTTCACGGCCACCGCAGCCTCTACCTGCTGGGCTTAGGTGATCCTTCTGCCTCAGCCTTCCAAGTAGCTGGAACTTCAGGCATGCACCACTATCCCCGTCTAATTTTTTGATTTATTGTAGAGATGAGGTGTCCCCAAGTTGCCCAGGCTGGTCTCTAACCCATGGGATCAGGCAATCCTCTCGCCGCTGCCTTCCAAAGTGCTGGGATTATAGGCATGAGCCACTGCGCCCAGCCTTCGACCATATTTTAGAGAAAGCATTTCAGAGTCTTCCAAGGCAATTCTGAAAGGACACTGAAAATTATTTTGATCCCTGTTCTTGGAGAAATAAGAAACAAATATTTTGATTCATTGCAATATTGTTGGAATAAAATATAAATAATGACACAGTATGGTTGCCTTAAAAGTAAATTCTAGTCTAGAGTGGTGGCCCATGCCTGTAATCCCAGCACTCTGGTAGGTGGAGGCGAGAGGACCACCTGAGCTTAAGGATTCAAGACTGGCCTAGGCAACTTGGTGAGACCTTGTCTCTATTAAAAA